AACAGGAAAAAAAATCAACGTCGAACACTATAGGTAGGTAACCTAACTATATTGTAAGGAATAAATGGTTCTCTCACTCACTCACTCACTCACTCACTCACTCACTCACTCACTCACACATTCACTCACTAACTCGCTCATTCATTCACTCACTCACTCTCACTCGTTTACACACTCACTCACTCACTCTCACTCACTCGTTCACACACACTCAATTACTCTCTCTCTCTCTCTCTCTCTCTCACACACACACACACACACACACACTCATTCACGCACTCGAGCTCACACTCGTTCACACACACACACACACACACACACACACACAGACACACACACACACGACACACACACACACACACACTCACTCCCTTATTCACCCACTCACTCACTCACTCACTCACTGGCTGACTGACTTACTCGCTCCCATAACTTAGTGATTGAACGGTTACTTAAGTTATAATAATAATAATAATAATGTTGTTGCCTTTAAGACATTTTACTTCTTTGTACATTGCCAACACGTAGGTACATTATGTTGTTACCATCTCAAAAAACTCAGACACAAACTCTATGCTACAGTTTGCATTGCGCTTGTCTGCCTACATAGTCAGGGGTGGAAATTAATCTTTTTTTCGCCATACCTGCACTGATGTTACAGGCACCAGAACACTTTTACCTACACTACTCAGAATCTAGGAAAGTTAGGATCCAAAACTGTCCAGAAACCATCGCCATTATCTATTTCATACTTCATAGGTCACGGGTAACAGGCTAGCGGTGAATGTTAAATATAAAACTCCACATACAACTACATGTACATACCGGTGCAGGTTGACATCAGAAATATATTCACAACCAATTCAAACCAAAACACTATATAACCTTGATCTCGCGAGATCACGTCGTGAAGTGATTGGTCATTAATTAGCCTGATGAAGGCGACAGTGGTCACTGAAAATTTTTACTATAATTACTACCAACACAGATGAACTTTCATGATGACTATGTAATCTGTATGTGCAGGTGATTTCGTAAACCGTCATAAGGTTTGCTTCGTTGAGGCAACCTTTTATCCACAGTATTAGCACTCTCATAGCCTGGGTACCATCCTATTTGCATGCCGGAATGGATGGTGCCCAGGCTAGCACTCTCGACCACGACATAGATAATTTCAACCTTGTTGGATAATTTAAATATCTACCCAGGAAAACTGCAATATCTATCTATTATCTTATAGTATCTATCTACCTATCTCCATCTATCTATCTATTTCTATATATCTCCTTTATTCCTCCTCTCTTTATAAACATAAGTTATACATATACAAGTACACTGTACTGAAACTATGCGTTACTGGTTCACTGTGGATGAAGTGAGGTGCTATCAGTTCACTTAATATGCACTGAAGTTATGCCTTACTGGATCACTGTGTACTGAAGCTATGTGTTGGGACATGTGGCTGAAGTTAAAAGTGGGACTCAAGTCCCTGTTTCCGCCCATACAAATTCCGCTAGGTGTCGCTCGTTCATAGTCACCAGTTCACTGTGGAAAGTCACGTCCTACTATTGACTAAAGTTGAAGTCACTAAATCGTTAACTAGGTTATCGTTAAAAGGACGTGACACATATGCCTAGCTTAAGTGTGAAGTCTTTGTAATAGGTCGGACGTGACGTGTTTTACGTTGCATGTGGCATAAATGAAGGAAAAAGGTGACATATTTAGCTCCGGATTTTTGGAACAGATACATGTATATTGCCATACTCTGTTTATCAAAGAACGTGCTCTAGGGACGGTGTTGGATGCGAGTCAGGACTATCAAGAAACCCCTCCGCCCCTCAAGCACGGAACGAGACAAGGCCATTGTGTGTTGAGAACTGTGCGCAGTCAGGCACGGTTCTAGATACATTGTAGTTCCAGCGTGTCCCAGAACGTAGATGTGCCCCAGGCACGGCTCCGGACACGCGCTGAATGTCCCAAACGCGGCCTCTGTCTGAGCTGTACTGGCTCCGACCTGTTCCAATCAATGTTGGTAGCCAGTATCGCCAGTATGCAATAATTACGGCTGCCCCATTCTCGTACCTGTAGATTTAAAAGACATTAAAATGATCAGCATAGACATACGTCCTCTCCTTGCATGTACAACGACACAACACCTTCAATGGGAGAGCAATCTTAAAATCTATGTGGTTCGTGGGAAAAGAATGTAACCTAAACTTGTAATACGTAATATTCAACACATACAACATCAGACTCCATCTTCATGTGGGCCAGCAATGCCGCCGTCAGGTGCGCACTGTGAGCATGGTGCAGGACCTCAACCAGCACGCTGAAGTTGCTTCCCGTAAAGCAGCATAAACAAAGAGTTGTAGGACATTGTGATTGAAGCTTGCTTCTATTCAAACACTTAAAGCACATTTAATTCTTCTAAAGTTTAACTATTTGTGGAAAATCAGCATAATACAGAAATATGAGACAACCTGGAGAGACAACAAGACTACCTGGAGTGATAAAAGCTTAATTAATTCAAATACCAAACCAATGAAACTAGTACAAAGATAATATCAAGTACCTTTTAAATCCAAAGACCTCCGGTCCACAAGGTCTTTGAGGAAGGCGACGGAGCCAGTGCTCCTTGGCGAGGACCAGTCGGCAAGTAGTACACACTTGCCTACCTCCCAAAGGAAGTGGAAATCTCCTAAAAAAACAAAGTACATTGTATGAACAAATGACAACAAACTTGTTGACAAAGGACTGCAAGTTACTCTTGTCACGTGTCATTTGGTCAACAAATAAGAGTGTGCTACTAAACATTGATTTAACATCGACCACACAAAAAAAAACCCCACAAAGTTAATTCTATTGTTCACACTAGGCCCATACCAGGACTTTCATTGGCCCATCCCAGCTTTTCGAATGGACCTGCGTCGTCCTGCCGCAACCTTTTGGACCCGCGAATGTTTTTACACGTAGCTTAATCGCCAATCACCAACTGTTGTAAAATAGATGAAACAACTGCAACAAATATATGCACAGAGGTGCACAAGACAAGGCAAGGGCCAACAGCTCTTGAATCAATGCTAATTGATAAGGAATAACTTATATCTAATTCACTGATATATTCATCTTTCTGGAATATACCATTGCAAATTCATAGAGAACTAATTCCTCCTGTCTAACCTGTTAAATAAAAGACTTGCAAGTCAAAAATGAATGCTCTAACCCGATCCCATAATTCGTCTACTCTCATTAATGCCTCACTGGCAAACTTTGTCAATATTCGATTGTTTGTTTGTTTGTTTATTTAGGAATCTCCATTAGTGAATAATATGTACATCACTATTCTTCCTGGAGTCCTATACAACATAAAAATACAACTATTATTTACATTTACTTCAACTGCTATCATTGCCATTATGCTTCATGAAAACTTAACAACAATTTTAAACATCAATTATTACATCAATTATTACAACAATATTACACTATACAACCATCAATCAATAATGTTACACTATACAATTATCCAAAAACAATTTTGTAATAGATGTCTGAGAGGTCAGAGGTCATAAAATTGTGCAGAATATATTCAAAACGTTTACCACCAGGAGTTAATTGGTGTGTGTTTGTTTTTATGTGTTTTTGTCCAATTCCAGATTTTTTCGTTCGTGGGTTTGAGGATGTGATGTGAGTAGGCAAAGATTCATGACATTGTCCGAAATTTTCGTCCAGGAGCTCCATGGGACTGTACTTACTCCTTGGGGCCCAACTTTGGGACGGGACGCTTGGTAGCAATATTTGAAAGCGGACTGACACGAAAGAGATGGACTATAACATGCAGGTGCGCACTTTTTATTTATTCATTTCAACATTTAAAGACAAGACTTGGTGAAGGCACACTCAAGTTTTCAACTTATTTTTATGCCGCCACCAGAGCAGAGGACAAAAGACAATATTTTTCATCTTAGTCAAGTGAGGAAAGTCGTGTAAAGTTCTTTTCCCTAGGGTACAAGATGGGTAGCATGGCAGGATTCGGACCCCGGACCTCTTGGTTCTGAGCTGAGTATGGCACTCTGCTGTTATGCCACACGGCCCCACATCATGCACACTTTATCTGTTATCCTGGAATATAGCATTGTGCCTTTTGTTACTTCCCCACAGTTTAAGCTTTCATTTAAGGAACTAATCGCCACATTTAGTCCATGGGCCAGACCCCCCAAATTTCATATATCGGTACCATCTGAGGTGGCAAATTCTCATCATGGTTTTTGAAAAGTAGGGTGTCTGTGGAATATTTGAATTTCAAAAGCTCATAACTTCTCGTAGAAATGACATAGCGAAACAAAATTAACATTTTTGTAATCCTTGGTTCCAGTCTTATCAGTCAATGAAGTTGAAAAATATCCATATTTGATATTTTGCATCATAAGTGCAAAAAGACACGGTCCATATGAGGTCAACGTTCAAGGTCAGATAGCAAGGTTAAAGCTACCAATGTGCAATGGCTATCAAATAAAAAACACCCTACTTTTCAAAAACCATGATGAGAATTTGCCACCTCTGGCCCATGGACTAATTTAATTACAATGTAAGTAAGGTGGACCACGGGGCTGACATTCATGAAGAAAAATGTCTATCAAGCCAATCTTGACACCACATGACCGAACCGCCAAGTACACGGGCCTGCGCAGCCTGGGCGCTACTATTATTCAATGGAAGGGGTGTAACATGAAGCTGTCCAGGTTTGGCCGATAGATTATTAGTAATCTATTATGACCATGAAATAACATGACTAACAAAAGATAACATGCTGTAGGGGACGTCAGCTGGATTGGCAAAATGCTCGAAACACTCGTGAAACGAACTCCGCGTAACCCTTGGAATAGTGGCCAGGTGTTTGAGTCGTGTTACCATGCAGACATTTGTTGTTGCTAGATCTTGTTACCTACATTGTCTCGATCCGTGACCTCTTACTAGTACTTACTTGAGGCGCCATTTTGTAACAGCCGACTGGTATTGTCGTTTTGGGACAAGAAATGGCAACTACTTTGGTACCAGGAGCCTCTCTGAGGAACAAGAACTTTCTCGAGGCGATACAGCAAGCCGGCAGTCCCACAATGTACCCATTACCTGCCGAGCCGGCCCGTTTTGTAGCGGGAAAGTCACTGTCAAATACTCCGGTCGACGAACTGAACCGTAGGATTCGAGAGCTCTGTGGCACAGACCCCAGAATTCTGCTCACTATGGCGAAGATGGAAGAAGACGATCGGAAGTCCTGGGTGCGACTGGCCCACTTCATGATTCTCCTGGCTAATGAACAGCACCAGGAAGTAGGGCGTCTTGTTGGCTGGGCAACGACATGGCCAAAGCTTACAACTGCCGTTGTAGTGGGCGTGGCTGCTGTTCTCAGTCTGACCCTGTTTCACGGGCAAACCGGTAAGGTTTAGGTGTAGGTTAACGTTATATTGGGTAACAAGTCCTTCAATGTCAAAGCCAGAGGTGCATTACCTTCGCATTGAAGGTTATGTTTTCGGTAGCGTTTGTACGTAACTACTAGACTGTATGTGTGTGTGTGTGTGTGTGTGTGTGTGTGTGTGTGTGTGAGTGTGTGTGTGTGTGTATATGTGTGCGTGTGTTTGTGCGTGTATGTGTGTGTGTATGTGTGCGTGTGTGTATGTGTGCATGTGTGTGTGTCTGTGTGTGTGCATGTGTGTGTGTGTGTGTGTGTGTGTGCATGTGTGTGTGTGTGTGTGTGTGTGTGTAAAAATCAAAAGGCCTGTAGTTGTGTGTGTGAGTGTGTGAGGGTTAGCACGATAACTCAGATACAAATTGTCGACGTCATTCAAAGATGCAGAACGACAATGCGCATGCAGAAGTATGTACCATTGATGGGTTTCTTTTTTTACTATTAAAATTAAATTAATAAAATAAATCTCTTGCCATTGATGAGATATTGCTGCGTCTGTGGCTTCTGATAGAAGTTCTGCCCAATGTCCCACAGGAGGAGCTGTGTATGTTCGCTGGGGAAGGAAGACCTGTCCGGACAGCCTAGGGACTGAAATGGTTTACTCTGGTAGGAACTTTTGCACAGACACCATATGCCACAATAGCCTGCATCGATAAAGCATTTTAGGATGCATTTAACTGCGATGCACCCCTGCATGCATATTGTAGCTGAAACTACAGTGATAAAGTACTCGCTCCGCTACACAACTCTCAACTGCAAAACAGACACTTATCGCCAGTTTCTCCCCAAGAACGGTCGGTGAGTGGAACAGTACTAGTTTACCTCCACACATTGTTACATCACCAACCGTTTACGGGTTCCGTTTGGGCTAACCCAGTACATGGGCCTCCCCAGCACCCAGCTGTAACTCAGGTTTGTCAGCGCGGCCATGTATATGATTCACTTGCACAAATTTGTTTTTGTTCGTCTGCACACTTTATTTGTTGATTTTTACGAGCACCATACACGCCACCGGCCGCACAATGTCGTGCACCTGGACGTGATGATCCGTGATGCCCCACGAGGGTCTTGTCCAGTATACTATAGATGTAGAAGGACGTTATCTGAAGCTCCTTTGATAAAGTAATAAACTTTATATCGATTTGTATGGAAGCTGAGATCCTCTGTCACATGTCGTTCAGGTGTGGCTGGAGGCACATGGTACGACCAGTCCGGCGGCGGGACCAACTACCAATGTCTGCCGACCGACCCACAGTGGGGACGGTACCTAGATGGAGTCGAAGAATACAAGGCTTACATGTACGGCGCTGAGTACCAGTTGAACACAAACGTGCCGCTCGGTTCCACCTCCCTTCACGATAACGACGTCCCGTGTGCGGTCTGCTACGTCCCAACCCGCGGCAGTAAGTTAATGATCCCCGCCCGTAACACCTGTTATAGCGGCTGGACCCGCGAGTACCATGGTTACCTCATGGCTGAACACCACAGCCACCCCGGGTCTAAAGAGTTCGTCTGTGTGGATGAACAGCCTGAGGTGATGCCGGGCGGACAGGCGAACCGGGACGGAGCGCTGTTCTACCCCGTGGAAGCCCGCTGTGGGTCCCTGCCGTGTCCCAACTACGAGGAAGGGAGGGAACTCACCTGTGTCGTCTGCACCAAGTAGTATAGAACGTTGTTACCGTTCTTTCCTGGGAATAGAATTCTCAAATATAAGAAGGAGTCCGCGATTCAACATAATTCCTGATGCCTCCATCCAGCTGCAGCTTACGTAATAAAATTTTAAGCAGCTTTCTTTGTTGCTGCCGACAGTGTAAGCGACCGTTTCAACAACTTGTCATTAGCATAAGATGCATGTTTCTATTGTAATTTTGCAGTGTTGACTTCCTTACAATTGTTACCGCCTCCGCATGATGTCTGCATGGGTGACATCAGACGACCAAAGTCTTAAAAGAATATAAACAACCAATTTCTGGAAACCGAAACGTGTCATATTTTTGACGAGGCGGTCCCCACTACGTGGCCGTGGAGTTGCACGCTAGCCTGGTAGCCATCCCTTTTCGTGGGCTTGGTAGCAATATTTGAAAGCTGACTGAAACGAAAGATATGTACTGATGCAGATGCACACTTTTTTATTTATCATATTTATTGCAACATTTAAAGACAAGACATGGTGAAGGCACACTCAAGTTTTCAACTTATTTTTATGCCGCCACCAGAGCAGAGGACAAAAGACAATACTCATTTTCACCTGAGTCAAGTGAGGAAAGTCGTGTAAAGTGTCTTTCCCAAAGGCACAAGATGGGTAGCATGGCAGGATTCGAACCCGGGACCTCTTGGTTCCGAGCTGAGTATGGCACTCTGCTGTTATGCCACACGGCCCCACATCATGCACACTTTATCTGTTATCCTGGAATATAGCGTTGTGTCTTTTGTTACTTCCCCACAGTTTAAGCTTTCATTTAAGGAACTAATCGCCACATTTAGTCCATGGGCCAGACCCCCAAATTTCATATATCGGTACCACCTGAGGTGGCAAATTCTCATCATGGTTTTTGAAAAGTAGGGTGTCTGTGGAATATTTGAATTTCAAAAGCTCATAACTTCTCGTAGAAATGACATAGCGAAACAATATTAACATTTTTTTGTAATCCATGGTTCCAGTCTTATCAGTCAATGAAGTTGAAAAATATCCATATTTGATATTTTGCATCATAAGTGCAAAAAGACACGGTCCATATGAGGTCAACGTTCAAGGTCAGATAGCAAGGTTAAAGCTACCAATGTGCAATGGCTATCAAATAAAAAAACACCCTACTTTTCAAAAACCATGATGAGAATTTGCCACCTCTGGCCCATGGACTAATTTAATTACAATGCAAGTAAGGTGGACCATGGGACTGACTGACATTCAGGAAGTAAAATGTCTATCAAGCCAATCTTGACACCACATGACCGAACCGCCAAGTACACCTGCGCAGCCTGGGCGCTACTATTATTCAATGGAAGGGGGTGTAACATGAAGCTGTCCAGGTTTGGCCGATAGATTATTAGTAATCTATTATGACCATGAAATAACATGAATAACAAAAGCTGACAAACGTCATGCTGTAGGGGACGTCAGTTGGACCGGTAAAATGATCGAAACACAAGGTGAAACCTCCTTGAATAGTGGCCAGGTGTTTGAGTCGTGTTACCATGCAAACATTTGTTGTTGCTACTTAGGCCATGTTGATTTGATTATATGGATGACATCCTCTGGGAGCCCCAAAACTGATGCGCGCGTGCGAATTAAAAAAAAGTTTTGCAAAAAAAAAAAGTTCTTTTCATTATGAAATCTACGTGGTCATGAGGGTTGAGCAAATGGCACAGAATATGGGTTGGCGAATAATCTAGTCTTCAAATTCATTTCTTTACAATTTCGTCTTTTTTCGTTTTGATTTTGGCATTCTACGACATTGGTATAGTTTTGTGGTATATTTTTGCTCATTTTACAACTGTTTTGTACGATTTACAGTATGGTTGAAAACTTTTTTTTTTTTTGGAAACGGCCGAAAAAAAATTCATGCGCGCGCGGATGTCATCCATATAATCAAATCAACATGGCCTTACATTGTACATTGTACTCCGTGACCTCTTACGTAGTTGAGGCGCCATTACGTTACGCCGACATACAGTTCTCACAGCCGGCTGGTGTAGACGTTTTGGGGCACGAAATGGCAACTACTTTGGTACCAGGAGCCTCTCTGAGGAACAAGAACTTTCTCGAGGCGATACAGCAAGCCGGCAGTCCCACAATGTACCCATTACCTGCCGAGCCGGCCCGTTTTGTAGCGGGAAAGTCACTGTCAAGTACTCCGGTCGACGAACTGAACCGTAGGATTCGAGAGCTCTGTGGCACAGACCCCAGAACTCTGCTCACTATGGCGAAGATGGAAGAAGACGATCGGAAGTCCTGGGTGCGACTGGCCCACTTCATGATTCTCCTGGCCAATGAACAGCACCAGGAAGTAGGGCGTCTTGTTGGCTGGGCAACGACATGGCCAAAGTTTACAACTGCCGTTGTAGTGGGCGTGGCTGCTGTTCTCAGTCTGACCCTGTTTCACGGGCAAACCGGTAAGTACATGTATGTACTGCGTGAGGTTAGCGTAACTGAATAGTTAAAATAAAGGCAGGAAAGGTCGGTAAGTGTGTGTGTGTGTGTGTGTGTGTGTGTGTGTGTGTGTGTGTGTGTGT